CTTAGGCTCCAAGATTCGATGGAAAGAAATCCCAGCTGTGGGCTCTGAGGACTTTGAAAACTGTTTCATATGTGAATACACTTGCCCTTTAGCAGGAATCTCCGCTGATAAGCCTTCCTCCTCTTGAGTGTTTTTATCAGTCCCTTAGAGAGTGTTAGAGAAGTTTCCCGTTTTGATAGACTTTTTAATGATGTTACAAAAATATCATTTCATACTGATTCCACAGGGGGGACATCTGCTGCTTCCCAAATGCCACATTTCTTCAAATAAAAAGCAGAAGATAGCATGTAATACATAAGGAACTTATGTCTTAATAAAGACAAAATTGAAATTCTTTTAATAATTAGTATCATATGATAGAAAAGAGGACTGATTTTCCTCACCCACCCAGCAAGGTTGCTCTTCTCACTATACTTGTTTGGCATAAACTACTGACTTCTTCCAAGCACTGATCTGAAGTCATGGTAATTTGGCATATCTTTGAAAATCCTTCCTCCTACACTTCTGTTTGTACCCTTAAAGGTGTCATATTTCAGGCTGTATTTAGCTATTCTTTTTGTTGATGCGTCCATTCATGCCTGAGGTATGTCTCATAACACACCTATGAGAGGGGACCTTGGAGGAACGTCACCAAAGGCTGAGGAGCAATGTCTTTGCAGTGTTTCCCAGTCCATCTTGTCTTCTGGCTCTTACTTCAGAAGGGACAGTCCTGCTTTGCTGGCAAGAGGGAGTGGGCTCTGCCTTGAATTCCAGCTGTGGGCTCTGCTTTGCAAGATATCTGCTTGTCAGAACCTGAGGTCTATATGACTATGGGACAGGTCCCAGGTATGTGACTGACAGGCCTGAGGGACCAGAAGCCCTTCTCCTTACCCAAGCCCAGATGGGGAAAACTTCAACTGTGAGAGCCCCCCTTTATTCCCAAACAGCCATCATTGTTTCCCTTCCCTGAGGCTCTTTGTAAAGAGATCTGGGAGAGTAAGAATAAATCCTTTCTAGATCAAAGAGAAACAGCAAAAGCCAGGAGAAAAGCAGGTAACCAATGTACCCACTCCATTCAGATGAATACAGTCCAAACGGAAAGAGAGCCAGTCATATATCACTCAGTGACAGTGCAATGCAGTACTTCCAAAGATCTGGTTAGGCACTTCTGTTTTTCTTATTTTAAGCTTATGCTTTGCAAAGTAAGTTGGTTGTTTTTTGTTTTGTTTTGTTTTGTTTTAAATGAATCGCCTTTAAAGTAGTGGGGGCAAAACACCAGAGCTTAGGCAACCCCTGGTGGAGGCTTTTACAATTCCTCTACTTTTGGCTCTGACAGCACGAGGGTTGCCTGCTCTAAGCCCTGCCTATCCACCCACCCAGAACTGAAGTGGCTGAATCATTGCCTGGCATGACAGGAAAGTCTTGGGCTTGAGGGGAGAAAAAAAAGAAAAGAAGAGAGGGAAGAGGGTGGGATGAGAACTGGAAAGAAGAGGAAGCAAGGGAAAGATTGTTCAGAGGATGATGCAAGATGTCCACAGGCAAATGGGACTGGGACTAACCTCTTCCATCATGAGAGAATGTCTCAGCTCCTAAAGTTCTTGACATAGTGTGTGACCCAGGGTAGGAGCCCAGCAAACGTCAGGGCTTCTGTGATGCCCAGCCCCTTGGCTGCCCTGTCATGCTTCATGGGACTTCACTTCTTCCTGGGAAGTAAAACAGAATCAGATTCTGGTTGTGTTGCCATTCACTTTCACTCCTCTGGAACCCCAGGGAGCCTAGAGCTGCTACTGCTGCACCTCAGTCCTCAGGGCAGCACAGACCTGGCTATGGAACTAGATGCTTATGGATGACCATCTGTACTCTCCAGAGTTCAGATTGAGAGCAGAGTTCTCGCACATTGCCTCACGCACCTTGAGATAGTCTCTTCTGGGAACAGTGCCCTCCGTGCCCAGCGTATTTGGGTAACATTCACAGCTGACGTTAGGCTCCTCCTTGGAACACCATTTCATGTGCCCACAGAGTCCAGGGCCCTGCCTGTGACTCTGCAGGGGAGACAGCCCTCACTGGCATTGGGCTGAGGACAGCCTGGGACATTCCCTTTCCTCATCCAGGTAGTTCTCATCATGGTTCTCATCCCGAACCGTTGAAACCCCACGAAGGTACTAGCCCCGGTGAAAAAGTAGTAAATGGACTGGGCAGAGCCTGCCCTTGAGGAGTGCCCATCCAAGGATCCCTGGATCTGGAATGAGAGACAGATCTTGAATTCTCCCCTGAATCCTCATCCTACCACTGTGTGGGACTATGTACCAATTTGCCAATGTGCATTGTCCCCTCCTCCTGGAGTTAGGATCAAAGGTGGGGGTAGAAGTCCAAGAGCAAGGGGACTTCTCTTGCAAGAGCAAGAGAAGGTCCAGAGCCCTAGAACTCCTCTCACACCAAATCCACATATCTTAGCTACAGAAGTATCTGGGGCAGTCCCCTTTGCTTCCTGTGACACTAAAGTGGCATGAGAAAGCAGCTGAATTTTCCTGTGCCTCCAAGGAGGTAACAGAGGGAGGGAGAGAGAAAGAGGGAAAGAGAAAGAGGGAGGGAGCGAGAGGGAGAGGGGGAGCGCACCTCCAAAAAATGTCACAATAGAAAATGGCATGGACTGTGCAGCTAGGAACCAGGTTAGAATGACACCACCACATTGGAAGACAGCATGAAGGTATGCCATCTCTGAGCACTGGATGGGATTGTACATTGGAGTGGATGCTGGCAAGGACAGGTTGCCATTGACAACGAGCAGATTCTCTTCTCTCTTGCTTTCTCTCTCTGAATTTAAGAGCCTTACAGAATTTAGGTGATAGGCTGGGGCAAAAGAGACAATCCTAAATCGCTTGATAACAATAATTGGTAATTAGTAAGACAATCCTGAAGTAACTGGGAAAATGTGGAATTGACTAAATTTTCTGGTATCTGTTGGAATTGAGACTCAAGATAGGGCTCTTTTGTGGTAGATGCCATTCTAGGTGGCCCCCAAGTTTCTTGCCCCCTAGTGTATGTGACCCCTTGCATACGGGTAGAATGTACTACAATCAGCCTCCTTATCAATGTGTTCCACATCTGTGGATTCAGCCAACTGTTGAATTTGAAAAAGATGGATGGTTGTCTCTGTAGTGAACATGTACAGACTTTTTTTCCTTGTCATTATTTCATAAATAATGCAGTGTAACAACTATTTTCATGGCACTTACATTGTACTAGGAATTATAAGTAATCTAGGGGTAATGTAAAGTATATGGGAGGATGTGTGTATGTTATATGTAAATACTGCACCATCTTATACAAAGGACTTAAGCACCTGTGGATTGTGCTATCCACAATCCTGAGCTTTAAGTGAGAACGCAGTCCTTCAGTGCAACCTTTTGAGATCCTGAACTTAAGACCCAGCTTAGCTGTGCCTGGATTTCTGACCCACAGAAACTAGGAGGTGATAAATGAGTGGTGTTTACAGCCGCTAAGCTTGTGGTCATTTGTTACATAGCATTGATTGGCCCTTATCCCTCATTCACTGAAGACTCAGGTACCAGGCTCACAGATGACCTTGGTACCCTGTGTCCTGTCATCATTCTGGGGGACTGCAGTGTATTCATCAGCAGCTTGTGCCACTCACAGACCCTTGACTTCTTCCTCATCTCTAACCTCTAGCAATCTCTTCCTCCCCGCCTCAGCCTCCCAGCTTCAAGGCCACATCCTTGACCTTTAAATCACCAGGATCTGTTTTACCTCAGAAATCTTAAATTTCAGGATCTCATCCTGGGACTAAAACCAGTACTCTCACACCCTTGCTGCCTCTCTACATCCTCAGCCATCTCCTAGATCTTTCTTTGTCCCCAGTCCACTAGTCTTCTTAACCACTGTCAGCCACCTGAACTGCTCTCTTACTGGCTCTCTCCACTTGCTCCCACTCTTGTCTTTCTGCTGCTATGAGCCCCAGCAAAACCTCAAGCTTACACCAGAGCAAACAGACAACAAAAACAAACACACACAATTGTGCCAAGTGGTGTATATAATTTTCTATCCCAGCTGAGCCCATCAATCTTGTTAAATTTTGAATTGTTTATTGGTAGTGTTAGTTTACTAGGGCTGCTGTAACAAAGTACTACAAATTACGTGGCTTAGAACAACAGAAATGCATTGTCTTACAGTTCTAGAGACCGGAAGTCCTAAATGAAAGTGCCAGCAGGACCATGCACCCTCTGAAACCTATAGAAGAATGCTTCCTTGCCTCTTCCTAGCTTGTGGTTTGCTGGCAATTGTTGGCATCCACTGGCTTGTAGATGCATCACTTCAATCCACTGTCTTCACATGAGTGTCTTCTCTCTGTGTGTTTGTGTGTGTGTCCAAATTTTTTCTTTAGATAAGGACCCCAATCATATTGGATTAGGGCCCAACCCAGTTACCTCCTTTTAACTTGATTACCCTGTTAAAGACCCTGTTTCTAAATAAGATCACATTCTGAGGTACTGGGTGTTAGGACATACAATTTTTGGGGGAGGACACTAACACATAAGTCAAAAAAGACCAAAATACATATCACACAAAGCAAAGGTCCTCTGCCCTGCACCTTCCCTTTTCTGTTCTCATTTTAAATATTTCTATTTTCATTTCTTCTAGTAGATTGTCCTTGTCTTTCTAAATACTATGTTACTGTTATATCAACTTTCTAATGTTTTCAACCTTGCTGACTTCTTCCTATGATAGATGAGATCACTTATCCATTCCCCTTTTTATGTACATATTTTTAACCTTGGATTTTGGAAATTGATCAAACCTATACAAGATTACAGAAAATAGTGTAATAAACCCCAGGTGTTCATCAATGAACTTCATTGGTTATCAACTCATGACAAATTTTGTTTCATCTCTCCCTGCCATTTTCCCTTCTCTTTTTACTATATAGATTTATTGCCACTTTTAAGTTTTCTATTGTTTATTTTTGTATCCTTAAATATCCCTAAATCTGTATTTCTCTTTCTATGAACTGGGGACAACTATTGACTTTTCTTATTTTATTTTATTTTATTTTATTTTTTTGCGATAGGCCGGGGCAAAGGACGCAATCCTAAATTGCTAACCCGAAGTTAATGTGCCTACATTTCCTGCCATCTGCCTTCCTCCTCCTCCTAGCTTTTTGCCAACTGTTAGTTCCTGCAGTCCAGGTTCCCAAGGAAGCCGACTAAGATGGAGAGTAATGTGCAGGAAGTTTCTTAGGGAGTACTCTTAGGATCAACACCTGTGGAAGGGGAGGGAGGGAAGAAATCAAAATTCAACAGACGGAGAAAGTGGGCAGTCTCAAATAAGGCTTCAGTTAACCCCACAGGGAGCTCTGAAGCTGAGATGGCCTTTCAGAGATGTCCCAAGTTGGGGTAAGGGGCTGGACCTTTATACCTTCAAGTTGAATCATTGATGTGGGCTTCCTGAGGACAGGGGTGATCTTGGCTGAGGTGCCTATCTTTTTCTAAGACAATTTCTGATGAGGGCTCACGGCAGCTAACAGCTCTCAAGCCAGCTAGGGAAGTAAAATTTTTGGTCTTCAAGGGAGATCTGAGCAGTGCATCACAGCACCATCATAGCTATATTTGTACCTTCCCATTGTCCATTGTCGTTTAGTCATAATTAAGTCATCTGGGCTTTGTTATAGATTGATTCTCAAAGTTGAAAATCCAACTGTGTTTCCAGTATTAAGACGGTATAATAGTATTCAGTACAGTACAGTGTAGGGCTAAGATTCCATCTCCCCACAATTGCTGCTCTCTCTGCTTGGCGTACCCTTCTTGCAGACCTCAATGCGGCTTGCTCCCTCACTTCCTTCAAAATTTTGTTCAAATGCCCCTTCACTAGTGAGGCCCTGCCTGGCCACCCCATAGAAAATAACAAGCATGCCCTGCACCCACGCTTTATTTTTCTCCAGACCGGGTATGCCCACCAACTGACTATCTCTCTCTCTCTCTCTCTCTCTCTCTCTCTCTCTCTCTCATCTATCTGTCTGTCTGTCTATTTATAGTTTTAAGCTCCACCAAGGCAGGGACATAGAGCCCCAGTACCAACAACAGCGCCTGGTATACATATTTGCGATACTTAAGAATTAGTTGAAGAAATGAATAGGAAAGGGAGTCCTTTTAGATGGAGGAAGGGACTTTCTCAAAAGTCCTCATGGAAGGAGAATGGCATTGAAGCTGGATTACAAGAAGTGTGTCTTTTATAAAGATAACAAGGAGGGGCAGGGCTTCCAGGTGAAAGGCATAGCACAAGCAAAGGCAAAATAGACGGGTAACTGCTAGTTGTTAAGGGCAGTGGTTGAATCGCAATACCCCTAGCAGTTCTACACCTAGGGGCCTGCGGGCCTCTGGGTCTGCGAAGCTTGCAAAGCGGCTGGCCCGCCCCGGCTCTGCGCCTGTCTCTCGGCCACGCCTACTGCCGCAGGATGACGCGCACCTCTAGAACCCGCCCCCAAGGGGAGGGACGCAGGGAAGAGTCGCACAGACGCACTCGCGCCGTGGCCAGCGCCCGGGCCTCAGGGCCCGGGCGGCGGCTGTGTTGCGCAGTCTTCATGGGTTCCCGACCAGGAGGCCTCTGTGGCTGCGGCGGCTGCTGCTAACTGCGCCACCTGCTGCAGCCTGTCACCGCCGCTCCGGAGCGGCCGCGTCGAAGCCGAAATGCCGACGCCCGGGTCCGGCCGAGGCTTTCTCTGGCTGGGTCTGGTCCTGAGCTCCGTCTGCGTCGCTCTTGGATCCGAGACGCAGGCCAACTCGACCACAGGTACCGCCCACGCCCTCCCTGCCGTCTCCCCTCCTCTCTCCTCTCCTTCCTCCTTTGTTTATATCCATTGTTTTTATTCTCCCTCTCTCCTAACCATTCCTTCTTTCATCCATCCATCATTCGTTCCCTTCCTCCATTTTTTACTTCTTCCTACCCTCCCTTCATCCCTCCCTCCTTCCATCTATTCATCCATCCTCCTCCTATCCCTCTGCTTCTCTTCCTCTTTTCCCCCATCTTTCCCATCTCTTCCATCCATCTTCACCCCTCCTTTCCTCCCTCCATTAGTCCATCCGTCCCTTTTACCTTCTATCTATTCGTATTTCTGTTTCTCTCCTTCCTTCCTTCTCTCCATCCTTTCTTCCTTTCAACTATGCATCTTTTCCTCCTTATCTTCCTCCATCCAACCATCTGTCCTTTCCTCCATACATCATTCTCTTTTTTTCCTAAATTCATCTTTCCTTTCCACCGTCTTTCACTTACTATCTCGCTTCCTCACCCAGGTTTCAGGCCATTACCAAAGCCTAACCCTGCCACCCAGGACTCAGGCTTCCTCCTCGAGCCCCACTCCCACCCTTGCCGAGGCACAGCCCCCTCCCTGCCTGGGCTGCTAAGGTGCAGGGTCCAGCCTTGGGCCTCTTAGTAACCTAGCACCTACCATGAGGGAGGGTTCAGTGTCAGTGCAGGTTACCTCACCAAAGCCCCTCCCTCCTGTGTAGATGCTCTGAACATTCTTCTCATCATCGTGGATGACCTGCGCCCCTCCCTGGGCTGTTATGGGGATAAGCTGGTGAGGTCCCCAAATATTGACCAACTGGCATCCCACAGCCTCCTCTTCCAGAATGCCTTTGCGCAGGTATGTCTGGGAACCTCTAGCTGTGGGTGTGTGCCTCCTCGGGCACTGAGGGTTGGGGGCGGGGAGCTTCAGCTATTGTCAGATGGCACAGATTGTGCGGGACATCTTGTTAGAGGGAAGCAGTCTAGAAAATGGTAGTGGAGAAAATCTGGCTTTCTACTCATGGGAAAGCTTGATCTTCAAGGGTGGCCTTCTCCTTGGGTGGAAGGTCTGCCCTGGACCTAATATGCTCACAGCAGCCCTGGGCAGCTTTCTCTCAGAATGAGGGCTTGCCTGCTGCTCAGAAGGAAGGGGTACTGCAGAAGGGCACCCACATGTCTGCAGACTGGGCCTCAGGTAAGAGCTAGTCAGGGTGGCTCTGCTCCCTGAACCCCCTCATGGCTCTGCCCCCAGCAACACTGGCAGCTCTGCGTGCCTGGGGAGGCCATTGCGTAGGAGGAGATAAGCATCTGCTGATTGCTTCCCTTTCTCTCTCCGGGAAGCTGTCTGTTGCCTAGGTGATGCCCAAATCCCAGTGTCTGGTTTGAGCTCTGCATGACTCAGCTACCAAGCTGTTTGCTAGGGGCGTCAGGAGGGCAGTTGCTTGGTTACCTAAGAGATAGCAGACATGTTTTGCTGTGAGGACATTTACCTCTGCTTCTGCTCCCTAACAGCAAGCAGTGTGCGCCCCGAGCCGCGTTTCTTTCCTCACTGGCAGGAGACCTGACACCACCCGCCTGTACGACTTCAACTCCTACTGGAGGGTGCACGCTGGAAACTTCTCCACCATCCTGTGGTGATGCCCAAATCCCAGTGTCTGGTTTGAGCTCTGCATGACTCAGCTACCAAGCTGCTTGCTAGGGCGTCAGGAGGGCAGTTGCTTGGTTACCTAAGAGAGGCAGACATGTTTGCTGTGAGGACATTTACCTCTGCTTCTGCTCCTAACAGCAAGCAGTGTGCGCCCGAGCCACAGCTTCTTTCCCTCACTGGCAGGAGACTCCACACCACCCGCCTGTACGACTGCCAACTCCTACTGGAGGGTGCACGCTGGAAACTTCTCCACCATCCCCCAGTACTTCAAGGAGAATGAAGCAGGACTATGTCGGTGGAAAGCCTTTCTCACCCTGGTACTGCTCCATGTTTAGAGTCTGGGTTCTCTTGGTTTGTGGTATCTGAATCCAGAAAATCCTGTCCTGGGGGATGTGGGTTGTCTTTGCAGAATGCTCTTCTGGCTGGGCAAGTGCCTGCTATTCAGTGCTTCCTTTCTGAAAACTAACTTGTCAACCCAATAAAGGTTTCACCAAAGTGGAAAAGGTAGAAAGAGCTTGCTTCCTCTCAGAAACCACTGAGGGTGTGCTGTTGGGTCCTTCAGCTCCTCAGGTGGTAGGGAGGGACACAGGGCTGGAGGAGGGGTGGCAATGTTGGGTGGAGTCCAGCTCAGGGCCCCACCCTCTCCTTGCAAGGTACCTGTCAGTAAATCTAGGGTATGTAAGGACACCTGAAGGCCTCCCCATGTGGGCCAGTATTGCTGTTGCTAACTGATTGCCCAAAGGAGGGGGCAGTGGTTAGGCGGGGGTCATACCCACTCTGGAAAATTAAGTCAGAAAGATGAGTATAATCTGGTACCCAGGACTCATAGGGTGCCAGAGATGGACATTCCTTACCTCAAATGCTACCTGATAAACTGGCTGTCTTTAATGCCAATATGGGGATATGAAAAAGAAACAAACTTTAAAACTTTTATTTATAGAAGTAATGCATGAGTATTTGAGAAAATGGAGAAAAAGTATTGGAAGACAAGAGCACCATAGGGACAATAATGCTTATCATTTGGGAATGACGACTTGAATGTTTTCAGTCTCTTTCCCTTTGCTCAGTGGTTACACTGGCAAGCCTGGCAGCCTTCTGCAGGAACCCAGCTGGTCAGGCTGGTCAGCCCAGGTTGAGAGTAACATTCAGTTTGTTTCAAGCCAGCTGTGTTTCAGAGGTGAACCTGTCGCTGACCATATTGTATTACAGCCAAAAGCCCATGTCAGGAGAACTTTCTGCAGTTTGTTGTTCTCACACACACCCCTTGCCTGAATGCAGCTGCAGGGAAGTGATGATTTTGGAGAGAGGAGGAAACACAGCAGAGGGTGGAGATTGTGCTTTGGGGGAGGGGAAGCCAGGCATGACTGAGTGATGCTGCTTGACGTCCCTCCCTCCTGATGATTCGATTTTGGCATCAGGCTCTAAGCGCCATGTCCTTCCCAGAGAATAAACCTTTTCCGGCAGCCCTTGTGGGAACACTTTTCAGCTGAGTCTGTGAGCCAAGACCTTTCTGTTGGGGGCATTGGGCCTGCTTCAAGATGACAGTAGCCACCACTGGAGTGCTGTATGCCGCTTACCATGCTGGCCACTCCTTTAATCCTCCCAACAGCAAGCGAGGTGGGTTTTTATCATCATCATCGTTTCCTAAGGAAGACATGAGGCTCATGGGAGTCAAGTAGCTTGCCAGAGGTTGCAGGGATGCTAAGAGGCAGCATCCGGATTTGGACCTGTGGTGGTTGGCCTCCTGTGTGCTCTTTCCACAGTGCTTGCTGTGTTCATAGGTCCTCCACCCGCTGCCTCTTTCTCTGCATTCCTGCCTCTTCTGGTGCTCCTATTGAGTCCCACTGTGTGACTGCTGCTGATGCCGCGAGGTTCTGCCTGTGATCCCCTCCACTCCTGGCTAACCACTATAGGCAACACTTCCTCTCAGATCTCCTCACAGGCCTTACTGGCTTTGTAGTCCTCCCTGCTAGTCCTCACCTGACTCACAATAACCTCTGTGCTTGGAGGATCCCCCACTTGGCTCTTCGATGCTTCTGAAAGCTGGCAGTCCTTCCTTGGTTTCCAGTACTACTATATTGTCTTCCCAAATAAACTATAAACTACTGTTTACAAGTGGGTTTCTGCTTCATGAATGAGCACTTGAACTTGAAAGTTCTAAAACATGGTTTTGAGTCCTGGCTGCCTTATCTAATATCTGGTTAGCATCGGTAAGGCACATCCTTTCCTGAGCTCCCTCCTGCCTCCATCAACTCCCTGGTGGTGCTGATGCCTCTGCTGCCTCCTTCATAGGGTGAGAGATAGGTTTCAGCATGGGCTCTAAGGAGCTGACTGTTCTTGTCCTTGTGGGTCCCTTCCACAGAGCCTATCACAAATCATTAGGGCTTAGGGACCAGGAAGTCAGATGCTCAGTTCTCAAATAGAAACTAGAGAGTCATTTCTTAGAGGGGACTTTTATAGATGAGGAAACAGCCCCGAAGAAGGGAGGTTCCACTTGCCCTTTTGTTTACAGAGTTTTAGTTATGGGGAGTGTTTTAGCAACTTTTTTTTTTTATGTCATGTTTTAACAACTTTTTTGTCATGTTTTAATGACTTTTTTTTTTTTTTTTCCAAGGGATAACTTCTTAACCATACCGATGATTCTCGTATAGCTGGTCTTTTCCACCTTATCATCCTTCCTGAGAAGTATGAAACACTAAGGTAAGGCTGTGAAAGGGACATTTCTGAAGAGGAACCACTTTTTCCTTTGTCACATAAACTACTGGGTATACTGCATGTTCTGTGAAGCTGGTTATATACCGCAAAGTTGTGGGTTTCATTTGTGATAATGTCTTTAGACAGAAGTAAGTTCTCAGCATTAGGCCTGACAGGCGTGGCTTCATTCTAGAAGCTGGTGGGTGCTACTTGTTCTAAAACCTTGGCTCTAACGTGATCAGAATCATTGAATAGCTCCCCAATGCTCACTCTGGATGAGACTGAGAGTTGTAGGAGATGCTGAGACATGGGAGGGAGAAAAGAGGCTGAGCTCCAGGAGCCTTAGCCCAGAATGGGAGAGAGGCATGCCACAGACCTGTCCCAGACCTTAATGTGTATGTTCAGCAGCTGAGACATCTGATAGGGGTTTAAAATTTTTAGAGCATTATGAAAAAAGAACTCACACAAAGAAAATCTTTTGTTTAGAGGAAACTCCAATATATAATGAAACTAAAACCCACATTTAAAGAAACTCAGAAAACTAACTGGGAACTGAGAAATGAAATGTACCTCTGAGGTTTCTTAGTAAACATATTAAAGGGTGAGGGTTTGGAGGTGAGGTGGGAAGGTATTATTCTAAATTCTGACAGCTTTCCATTTCAGAATACAGAAAACTGTGAGCTCTGGCCTGGCGTGTGGCTTGAATAGGAAGATCCCATCTTGACCCCCTGAAGTCAGCCTTGCTCCTTTTTAGTGGCCTCACTTACAAACGCCAGGTCCCTGTTCTAACTGCCCCCTACCCATTTCTTCTCAAAGTGGTGATCTGACAACACTAAATCTCCCTCGAAAAGGTAAATTGCGTATATAGATGATGAACAAGTGGTCTGAGGCGGTGTTGGCTGGTTCCGCCCAAGGGTGGGGTGAGGGCAAGGCAGCCAGAAAAGGCAGCAACACTCTTTGAGATGGAACAGCAGCTAACACAGCCCCTTGGTCTTTGTGATATACAAATCATGGTCAAAACTAACTTTGGTCTCACGGCCAACATGTCTACTTTGGGAAATAAAGCAGGAGGTTTCATCTCTGTGCCTAGTGTAGCTGAAGATCTGAAATTCCATGACTGTCACTCATCAAGTTGACTAGACCCTGTCATTTATAAAGTTTAACCTGTCTTTGTAATTTGAAATGGTTTTTTTCTTTTTTAATTTTTAATTAAAATAGAGTTCATATACCATAATGTTTCTTTAAAGTATACAATCTTTATTTGTTTTTAGTATACTCACAGAGTTGTGCAGCTACACCAAATCGATCTTAGACCATTTTATCACTCTCAAAAGAAACCCATGTACCCATTACCAGTTGTTCTCATTTTGTCTCAGCACTCCAGCCTGGAACAATAATCTGAACTATTTTTGGTTCCATGGATTTGGCGTGATTTTGTCCATTTGCATAAATAGAGTCATACACTATGTAGCCATTTGTTTCTGGCTTCTTTCACTTAGAATAATGCTTTGAGGTTCAACCACATAACAGTATAAATTGGTACTTCATTCCTCTTTTTTTTTTGAGACAGAGTTTCACGCTTGTCACCCAGGCTGGAGTGCAGTGGCGCTATCTCAGCTCACTGCAACCTCCACTTCCTGCGGTTCAAGCGATGATCTCCTCCTGCCTCAGCCTTCCAAGTAGCTGGGATTACAGGTGCCCGCCACTACACCCAGCTAATTTTTGTATTTTTAGTAGAGACGGGTTTCACCAGGTTGGCCAGGCTGGTCTCAACTTCTGACCTCAGGCAATCCACTCACCTCAAAGTGCTGGGATTAGAGGTGTGAGCCACCGCACCCAGCCTTCATTCCTTTATGGCCACATAATTGTCTGTTGTACCACATTTTGTTTATCAATTCATCACTTGATGGATATTTGGTTGTTTCTACCTTGACTATTAGAAATAGTGCTGCCTTTGGACATTTTTGTACAAGTGTTCTTTATGGCATACATTTTTTGTTTTCAATAACTATGTTTAACTGTTTATGAATTGCCAGACTGATTTTCAAAGTGACTACACTATTTTATATTCTACCAGCAATGTGAGAGGGTTCTAATTTTTCTGCATCCTCATCAACACTTGTTATTTTCCCCATCTTAAAATTATAACCAATTCTGGCTGGGTGTGAAGTGTTTTGATTTGCATTTCCGTAATGACTAATGATGTTAACCACATTTCCATGTCTAGTTGGCTATCTTATATCATCTTTTGGAGAAATGTCTATCCAAATCCTTTGCCCATTTTTAATTAGCATTTTTTTATTGTTGAATTTAGAGACGGATTTTTTTAATAGGCTACTGGGGTTTCTTTAATTAGTTATGATATGGATAAAAGAGTATTAGTGGCAAGAAACTATGCTGGTGGGATTTCGCTCCCTGCCTGGAAATCAAGAAATACTTTTCTGTTTTAATTCCCACTTCTGATGTCTCTGTTCAGTCTGAATAACACATGAAGGGCTGATTATGTGAACATTAAATCTGTGTGTGTAGCCTTCATGGCTTCCATTTCTTGCACTTAAAAAGCTGATGTTATATATTTTGTTTTGAAAGACATGCCGAGGGTTGGGGACGGAGAACTCATACAACCTGTTGGCCTCTGTGGATGTGGTGGATGTGCCCGAGGGCACCTTGCCTGACAAACAGAGCACTGAGCAAGCCATACAGTTGTTGGAAAAGATGAAAACGTCAGCCAGTCCTTTCTTCCTGGCCGTTGGGCATCATAAGCCACACATCCCTCATAGATACCCTGCAAGGTGTAAAGAGCTGCTGAGGGCTGATCCAGCAATGGTGCCACCACAGCTGTGTTGTTTGTTAAGGGAGGGATTTGCACAGGGAAGGTGGCCACATCCTTGCCATCCCCAGGCATCATGGATGCCTGATGGGCACTCAGTGTCCTCAGTGGAGGAAGATGGGGATTTAGGAGGCCAAGGCCAAGAATATGTAAGAGTCTTGGTAAGAAATGCTCGAAGCTTCTTACCTCTCCACTGAGGATTTGATTTCCTTTCCTTGAACTTAGCTACATGTTGTTTGATGGCGAGGATCGGGCTCACAGAGAAGTGAATCAGAGCTGGCTGCCAAGGCCTGTGACAAGGAAGGCCCTTGCAGAACAGCCCCAGGGAATATGGAAGCCTCTCTTTAAACTGCCTGTTCCCCTGAGCCTGTCAGTTAGATCGTAAACACAAAGCACTGCATTGCTTCTGGAACCTCAAATCCTGTACTTGCTTGGTATGTCATTTAGAGCATGTAGTCTTTCACTAGGGGAATCCTTTCCATTTTTCCCTATCATGTTTTATGAGGGCCTGAGTATCCCATCCTTTTGACTTTGCAGAGAATGCCTCACATGTAATGAGAGTAGAGACCAGCGGTATGCTTGATGCAGGGTGTCTTGCTTTGATTGGCCCAGGGGATTCAAGGTTTCCTAGTAGGAGCTGTCAGCCCCTTGATAGAAGCGGGGCGAGGTTCACCTTCCTGCCTCTAAGCATTTAAAGCAGCTAATGTAAGCTGACCTGGCTGTGATTCTGAAAGGCCTGCTTATGTCTAGCCCTTTGCTGGCATCTGGGAACTTTGATTTCCAGAGTGTTCCCACTACTCCCAGAATTGACTTACTATGCTTAAACTGTTTAGACAAACATTGTGGTTGATGATGAACCCTGTTTTTTTTTTTTTTTTTTTTTCTGGGAGTCTTTGGCATTTTGTTGTTTCAGACAGACAATGCCTACCTGACCAGCCCCAAATAAAAACTGGATAATGAGGCTTTAATGAGTTTGCCTAGTTAGCAGCATTTCACATGTATTATCACACAACTCATTGCTGAGAAGTAAGTGTATCCTGTATGTGACTTCCCCTGGAAGAGGACTTGAAGCTTGTGCCTAGTTTCCTCTAGACTTTGTCTCATGTCCTTTTTTCTTTGCTGAGTGTGTTTTACTGTAATAAATCATAGCTGTGAGTGAGACTAAATGTTGAATCCTATGAGAGTTCCCTAGTGAATTGATTGAACCTGGGAGGGTGATTTTGGGAACCCAACACCTCACACTTTTCTAGCTAGGTAGAGGTGGGGACAGGAACAGAAGGGCATCTGTTTGTATGAAGGAAGAGAGCTGTTGCTGCCTGGTTTGCAGGAAACAGAAGTCGTATGATTTCATTGCCATTGGCATCTCATGAGAGTAACTTAAGGCTGGACTTCCAGGTCAGGATGAAAGAACGGGAAATGCTAGTGAGCCACCATGTAAATGCATCACAGGCTTAGAGAAAAGGCAGCATAGATACTAATAGAGCCACAACCTTGTGCTTTTTTGCTAAAACAGACAACTTTGTGGCTTTGTGTGTTTTTCTCAAGGAATTTCAGAAGTTGTATCTCTTGAGACATCACCTGGCCCCCGATTCCGAGGTCCCTGATGGCCTACCCTGTGGCGACAAACTCCCTGGATGGACATCAGGCAACGGGAAGATGTCCAAGCCTTAAACATCAGTGTGCCATATGGCCCAATTCCTGTGGAGTTTCAGGTGCATCAAGGACATGTTGGAGGATGTATTGGACACTGGGATGACATAGTGTCATAGGTGAAACCAATTCTTCTCAGTGGACACAACTCCATCTATAATGTCTTATTAAGAGCTTTCTTTGTGTGAGTTATCGGGCAAAGAGCTGGGGTGGAGGTGTCTCTATAGGCATTTAGGACAGGCAGTGTTGCATGACTGTGAACTCTCCCAGCCAGTGTCTTACCTTCTAAAGAAGGGAATATCCAGAGAGTTGGTGACTTGTTGCTTGTGGACATGAGTGGGGAAGCAGCCTGTGACCATTCCCAACCAAGGGGGATACTGTTTAATTTAGGTGATAGCTCATTAATTGTAGAGTGATGAGCAACCTCGAGCAGCCCAGAATGCTTGGTTTGCTGGTACTTGCAGGTTCCCTTTGTGGAAAAGCCCACCCTGCCAGGCTGTCACTCTCAGGGGGTGGCTTGGTGAGCAGGACCTTGGTGCAGAGGGAACTGGGACACCATCATGGCCAGTGCCATCCAGTTGTGATGTCTGGCATTCTCTATGATTTAGGGGCAGAGCAACCACATAATTAGAATCCTCACACTGACTCACTCAATCACCCTTCTCTCTGAGAGCAGAATACACATTGACTAATGCTCTTCTGCAACATTCCACACAGAACCGTGCCCTTCTTACCATGAATGCTGTGGCAGGCAAGCTATAGTGAATGGAAGATGGCAGGGTTTTCCAAGTATGCATCCTGGACTACCTGCCTTAGAATTTCTGGGAGGGCTTGTTGGGAATGCAAAGTCTTGGCCCACTCCAGATTTACAGTTGGAAGCTGGAGGTGGAACCTGACCTGACAACCGGGACATTTCTTTAAAAAAAAAAAAAAAAAAAGCACACCAGGTGATTCTGATTCATCAGAAGTTTGAGAGCTTCGCTGTAGTGTATTGTTTAAAACAAACAAGGCCAAAAACCACCGTATACAGATATCCTTTGCTATCCAAACTATTTGGCTCCCTGAGATTGCACAACAAGAGTGTGGGTGGTGAGAGGTGTGCATTCCTCAAATCCATTTGATTCTGGTTTCACTGAGAGTTTGGAAAGCAATGCATCCATCTGTTTTTTTTCTAATTTTGTGTTTCTGGGCTACTGATGATGAAGTGGCTTGAACTGGCCCTGAGGCTGCACCTGGATGCTTTAATAGTGATGGTTTACTTCTTAAACGACCCTCTTCAAAATGGACTGTGTGCCAGGAAGGGCGCTGATTCATGTGTGGTATTACCTTTAGTCCTTATGGGGACTTAGTGAGGTACCTGCTCTCTGTTGTCTAGGGGAGGAACTCAAGTGGTAATGAGAGGTGTGCTGACTTGTCTGACAGCACAAAAATTGGTACTCAGGTGGGAGCCGATTCATCCCCAGGGACTGTAACTCCAAAGCCCCATGGTTGGATCTTGTTGGTTCCCAGCAGTGTGGGTCTGAATTGCTGTTCTACCCTTATACCAGCTTTGCCTAACTCTGCCGAAGTCATGTTACCTCCTGAGCCTCCTGAGTTTTCTTCTCTATAAAATTGAAACAAGGTAGGTAAAATTTTTCCATGATAACACGTACTTTAGAGATTTTCAGCAAGAATCAAAGAGAGCATGTAGAAGTATTCTAGACCGTTTTCAAGCGCACAGAGCGGTCTCCTTCAAGTTCTGTTAGTCCCCTCCTTAGACACAGTGGACAGCATGACTCAGAGGGCCTCCCTGATGCATGCACATGCTGATCCCAGCCCTGTATTCCGCTTCTTGACCCTTGGGCCTGTTCACTGTCCTCTGGCAGCTTTGGATGTCCCTGCATCCACGCCCATCTCACTGCACTCTTGGAGCTCTGGGTTTCTTCAGCTCCAGCCCTAACTCAGCCCACATGAGCCAGTGTGACCTCAGGGGCCACACTCAGGAGTTTGTTGCCTGCTGCTCTGAGTCACCACACTGACCACAACCCTTCTAGCACCTCCTTTGCTCCACCTCACGGGGATTTCACAGAATATGCATTTCTATCTCCCCTTGTGTCCAGGGCCTGGCTTTGTTGCTTTCCTAACAGCTAAGGCCTGGTGGTAGGTGACTACTGTTCTTCCCAGCTGCTTAGCTCACCATACTTGTCCATTTATCCTTGCCCCTCCTGCACACTTTATCGTCAGACAGTCCAACCACACCCTCTGCTCTCCAGTCCAAGTCCTGAAAGCTGCTGGAGAAAATCCACGCCCCACGAAGCAGGAGGAGGCCCTCAGATACCCCGCCTCCAGCTCCCAGCAGCCCAGGCAAGCCTCTGCTCAGCTCACCTCACTTGTCCTGCAGCTGCTCTGTTTGTATGACTCCTCTTCCCTTACTCCCTTCACTGCTCCTCCAGGCTCTTGCTTACCACTGTGCCCCATTTTCAGTGGACAGCACCTTTCCTCTTGTAGAAATGGGAGGCTGGTGGATAGGCAGAGGTGGGGATCGGATGGGGTGGATGTGGGGTACACATTCTGGCTGTGCCCCTTATCAACTGTGGTGACTCTGGGCAAGTTAACTAACCTCTTCTGAGTCTTGGGAGTCCCACGTGCCATTCAGGAGGATCAGATGCCACCTAGTGTGTACTTGTTGAATGGGCTCTCATTAATAATCTCCGTCACTGAGTATCTGGAATTTTGTGTTTGCATGCTCTTGGGGCTCGAGGCTCCTCTTCCTCGACTCTCACCACTGTCCCTGCTTCCCCACGCCTGCAAGCAAAAAGAGCAAGGTCTTCCTTCTCACCCACCTTCCCTGCAGCCTCTCCATCCGCTCTCATCCCTCTCAGCTGCAAAGTGCCAGCCCCTTGCTCCCTGCCTGTTTCTGCTTTCCACTCCTCACCTGGACTTCTGCAACGACTGGGCACACTGGGCTTCTGGCTATGTCTGTGGCCTCATTGTTCATTTGTTCTCTTTCTGTCCTCTACGCAGGCTTCCACCTCCCCAACCCACTAAACTTTCACCTCAGCACTGACCTTGGTGGCCAGTAAAATCCATCTGTGTGGGTCCTTGACCTTCCTTGAGCTCCGTGTCACTTCCTCACTCGGGCTGCCCACCCCCTTCTGGAACCCTTCCTCCCTCCTCCTCCTCTTGCACCGCCTGCCCCCACATGCCAGCGAATTATGCCACCAGCTGAATGTGAAACCTGGAGTCACCCTGGGGTTCCTCAACACCTCCTCCTGCTCTGCTCCTGCCCCCATGCCCACTTGATGCCCCTAAATTCTCCTCATATCCACATGGTCCTCTAGATTCTTCATCACATTGTTCTGGACCACTTTAGTGGGCCTTGCTTTGTTTTGTTCATTCAGCAAGTGTGGTGAGCACCTCTTATGTACCCAGCAGTGGCCTAGTACCATTTTGTCTAAAGCCTCTGAATCTGTGTCTGTGTCCTGTTGCAACATGACTCTAACAACTTGCAGCCCAGATCATGTCAATTTCTTGCCTTGAAAGACCCTAGTGACTCCATTGGCTCAGAACTTGGAGCCTCCACTCCCGGATAGACCCACCAGGTCCATAATATCTGGCCCAGACCTAACTTCTCCAGTCACCCCTCTGTCTCTCCCATTTGGATTCTCCAGTCACATGAGCCTTTTATTGGCCCCACACACAAGCTACTCTGTCACAACACACTGTTCCGCGCCCTGCAGCCTCCTGCTTGGAGCATCCGAGCCCCATTTGTCTGACTGCAGGCGTTTCTTGTCAAATTCTAACTCCTCTGTGAAGCCTTCCCTGAATCTCCCAGGCAGATTTGAGGGCTTATTCCCCTGTGTCACCCCTGGGCCTCTGTGGGGATCCGTCAGAGTGGTGGGAAAACTATAGGGAAAGGATACAAACTCTTCTGGAAAGGTCAGATGAGTCTGCAGAGCTCAGGGAGAATAGCTGAAAGCAGCCATTCTATAACCCTGAGGCAGAGAGGGTATGAGTAGGCATAAGGGAGTGTGGGGGGAATTTATCTTAAACAGTCTTGTTTACTTATGTTGACCAGGAGCTGACCTTTGATCATCTGTGCATGTGAGGTTCCCTGGAAGGAGAACAATAAATGTTAATTACCTACAGGTTGGCTCCAGGTTTTTGGCATTGTGCCTGCACTGAGTAAAGCAAGCAGCTCCAGCTTCTCGGGGCTGCCCTCTCACTAGAGCTAGGCAGTCACCCAGCTGCTCTTACACTGCATGCCTGTGTCTGAGTACTATTTCCATAGGCCAGGGTCTGCAGGACAGACCCTTGGCCAGGCTCCCACTGATAATTAAACATTTTCTGTCTCCATGATTGTGTCCTCACTGGATGGGGGTGGTTCATCAAGGTTGAGGACCTTGTCTGCCATTACCTTACATCCAGGGGCTAGTATAGGAAGGAGGGAATATTTTATAGGATACAGCCATCCTGACAGGTGTCTTTCTTCTCCCAGGAGGACCAAAGTTCCACACGTTTCCAGGCTGAAGACTTCACTCACTAGAAAGTATAAGTAGGCCAGGGTTCAACATAATCCTGCTAGAAGGTTAGGTGTATCTTTTCTCTTGGCTGCAAGTGAGAACGGGTGAATCTTATGATTGTCCTCACCCTGGCAGTGATAAGAAGAAGCTGGTGGGTCCAGATGATAAGTCAGGGACTGGTCTGAGAAGTCATGGCTTTCTTCTCACCCCTCTTCGGGTAGAGGATTAATCTTTTGTTCTAGTAGCATTTGTGAACCAGGCTGGGGATGAGAGCCCAGGGAGGGGTCGGTGGCTCGCTACTTCAGGGTATGATCTGGCTGTTCCCAAAGCCCTCTTGGGTTCAGGGGACCGGGAAGGACGTGCTGCTCTCTGGTCTCTTCCTTGCTCTTCTGCCTGCTGACAGTTTGTTAGAAATGAGCTCCATGTAACGGGCCATGGTCCATGAAATATGCAGCTGTGGTCTGCTGTTGGGTTAGAAAGTGATCAGAGGGAAAGTGGCTCACCAGGGTGGTTGTTATGTGTTAAGTTAAGGGAATCTTTTTTTCCTGAAAAGAGCTGTTGAAGTCCTAACCCCCCAGTACCACAGAATGTAACCATATTTGGAAATAGGTTTATTGCAGATGTAATTAGTTAAGATCAGGTCATATTGGAGGTTGGGTGGGCTCCTTGATCCAATATGATCAGTGTCCTTAAGAAGAGGGAGATACACTGGAAGAACACATGAAGATGGAGACACAGTGATGCAGCTGCAAACTGAGGGATGCCAGGACTGACCGCCACCATCAGCAGCTAGGGAGAGGTAAGATGTTTCTACTTAGAGCCTTCAGGGAGAGAATGGCCCTCCCAACACTTTGATCTTGGACTTCTAGCCTCCAGAGCTAGGAGACAATACATATCTGTTGTTTTAAGCCACCCAATTTGTGATATTTTGTTATGGCAGCCACAGGAAATTAACAGAACTGAATTGTATCTTGTGACCTTTTTATCAGAGCATGTGTGGGCCTGTGTTTCAAGGGACTGTAGGATCAGTTTCTGTGTACATGTTCATCTCTTGGAACCCATCAGAATATGTGAGGGAGACAGAAAGGAGCAGTAGGTGACACATTCATCCACTGTGATCTGTGCCCCAAAGTGAAATCTGATTTGCTTAGGAAATGTATCTTATTTGTAGACCTGCCAGATTTTGCTGTGGACTCGTGGGTGAAGCGATGCAGACGGTAGGAAAAGGAGTGTTACATTTTGGCTGAGAAAATCATTGGCGGTATCAACTAAGGGGTTGGGATTGGGAGAGATATACCAGGCAAGCATTATCTCTGTATGCCATGGCAATTTAAATTGCAGTCACTCTCATTATTATGTTTTTTAATTTGCAGCGGAAAATCCGCCAGAGCTACTTCGCCTCTGTGTCATATTTGGATACACAGGTTGGCCGCCTCTTGAGTGCTTTGGACGATCTTCAGCTGGCCAACAGCACCATTGTTGCATTTACCTCGGATCATGGTAAGCATTTTGAATTCCCTGGTGAGTCAAAACATCTGAATCTTTCCTTGTGAAACATGCTTTGCAAAATTGCCATTGATATAAAACATGGGTTTGTTCTCTTTAGAACCAGTGGTGCCTTGAGTCTGGGATCCTGGGGTATTTTTATGATCAACTTGTTAGTCCTGAGACTCTATCTTAGATGCTGATTTGGATAGGTGTGGGTGGGTGGGGTGGTCTTGTAGCAACTTTTTTTTCTCTGGTGAATGCAGCAGGAGTGTGGCAGAGCCTTGTAACCCCCCATTTTAACCTGGAGGGTTGAGGTCTTTTTTAGTTTGGGTGGAGAGGATCCAGAACAATCCTGGCAGAGCCCAGCAAGCTGTTCAGGCCTGGCTCCAGCCCTCCTACCCCTATCCCCACTGTCTTCTCTGCTGCAGCTTCAGCTTTTCTAAGTCTTTATCTCCTTTGCTGCTGGTTCCTACTTTTCCAAAAATGAAACTATCTTTTTTTAAAAACATTTTAATTCTTCAACATTCCAAGAGCAGGGAATAAACAGCAGCTCCCCCTGTTTCCCACTCACCCACTCCCCATCTCCGAATTGTTTTGAAGCAAATCCTGATGGTTCTGTTTTCTGATCACTATCTCTAAAAAATATTGCCTCTTTTGAAGTATAACCATAATACTGATATACTTAGAAAAAGGAAAATAATTTATATCATCAAATATGAAATAGGATAATAGTAAATCATAACCTGTGCTTATCGTAAAGAGAAAAAAGGATACAGAGCATATAATTCAGGCCAGAAATATCCTGCCCTTTTCCCACCTGCTCTCAGGCTCACAGGTGCTAATGGATTAGGGATCCATCTGCTGCCATCAGTTGTGCAATATATGCACAAAGGATATACATGTGTATGTTTGTAACATGTATGTCACAAGATGTGATTGCTTGTTCTATGTGTACTGTTAACGTTCCCTGGTTTTGTACACTTAATATCATAGACAATCTCTGGGTCATTTCTCAGAAGCCTGCTTTTTCCCTTAGAAAGGTCTGTAATATTATATATGGAGGTGCCATAATTTTTCACATATTCCCAATGATCTGCCATCTGCTTCTGACCCTCAGTGCCCAGTTCCTTTTCTCCATGAACACACTCTTTGCTGCGAGGCAGCTGCCGTAGATTACAAATAGCCCAGCTAAGAGTACCCTCCTGGGACATTCTCCATTAGAACCGTCTGGGAGCTAGTAAAACATGCTGGTTTCTGCAACTGGTCTCAGGAACTTGCAGGTCTGGAAATGGGAAAGTGCAGTTTAACAGGTGTCCCTGAGCTCAATATCTCTGGGCCTCCCTGTGCTGCCACGTCCTCATCTTGGGCCTCTGGAGCAGGAGCCAGAACCTCCCAGCTGCCTGCCAAGGTCACTGGGCTCTTGTTCCTCCTGATCTTGAGATGGATCCTTGGGGCCCACACAGGCATGCTCTCCTACCCGGACTTCCCTGTATTCGATTCCTGGCTGCAGCAGCACAGGCTGAGGCCAGATGTTCCAGATGTTCAATGAGATCTTGCAGTCAGGCAGTCCACAAAGGTTTTACAGTATGTGCCATGTAAGTCAGACCTGTGCTAGGCCTGGGGGCCACCTCTGCCTGGTGCAGGGCAGCTCACAAAAGCTGGCAGAGGCCGAAGGCTGCATGTCAGTATTCAGAATGCTACAGAGCGCCTGGACTGCTGTACTTCAGAGGCCATGACATCTGAATGGGGGTTTAGGTGGACTTGAGGGACCAGTACTGCCGGGGTCCCTCACTTTGCCACTCCTGCAGGCTTTCTCCATCTCAACCTTTTAGATTCCTGCCATACTGAATCTAAAAGTGGACAACGGGATTCCAAGCTGGTGGCCTAGGAGCCTGCCGATAACCGACCCATTCATCAGCCCTCGTGGGTCAAAGCTGCCTCAGCTCCCAAGAGAGTGGAGGTTGAGCAGTGGGCTACCCTCGCCCACGGCTGACCGATTGGGGCAGGAGTCAGGGGGTCCCCTCTCTTTCTGCGCTCCACCAGCTATCTGAAAGTCCCCACCATGTTCCCCAGTACTGACAGCCAGATGAAGGCTCACAGAATCACTGGGCAACTCTGATGGGCATCAAGTCTGCTTTGATTATAGATGAGTGGGTAAGAGGCTCCTTCAACTTGGGGTCTCTTAGGGAGAGCAGTGTCAGTGCAGAACAGGTTTCAGCCCTGTTCTGGAGACCACAGACGCTGGAAGGCTGGGACACCATTTGCAGCCCCAGAAAGGCCACCACAGGACAGAGCCAGCAAGGTCTCATGCTGTGTGGTGTATTTCAGCACTTTCTCAAATTTACCCGTGGCAGCTTTTGTGTGTTTGGTTATTTTTATAACACTACTCACTATACACTTCTGTCATGCCCATTTTTTGTATCAAAAAGGGTGCTGTAACTTAAAAGACTGGGTATTTCAACTTGGAATATTCAAACCATCTTTGCAAGGACGCTAAATAGGCATGAAGGGTTGTGTTGTTTGTAATCGGGGTTAAGGATCTGGAATCAAAGGTTTTAGTTTACTCCATCTATGGTGTATCTTAAAATCTGAGCAAGAGATGTCCGCTCTTTTTGAATTTTGATGATTGTGTTGTAGTATTGTGCTCAGTTTTAGGTGGCACACACCGAAAACTGAAAACCTGAGCTTGGAGGAAATGAGTCAAAAGATAGGTAGGTACAGGACAGGGCAGTGGTGACACTACAGCTTTCAGGGTTCCCACTCTGTCAAGAAGGAGCGTGTCTTAGCAGGAGAGGAATGCATATGTGGGAACCACCACAGAGCCCTACGTTAGGTATATGTTGCTAGTAGTTTGTTAAGATATTTGAGTTTGGAAATTTCATTATTTTTTCTTTTTTAAAGGTTTCCTCATGAGGACAGATAACTGATTTTGAGTACAGCAGCATTCAGTTGAAATCACCCTTTCTGTGGTAATTCCAAGTGAAAATTTTTCTTCTAGGTGATGAGTTTCTACTTTCTCTGATTTTTACAACAGGAAACGAAGTAGTGTCTAAACTAAACAAGCTGTGGTATGATGATTAATCATTTTCTGTCATTCTGTGCTTTTTATGAACTAGGGTGGGCTCTAGGTGAACATGGAGAATGGGCCAAATACAGCAATTTTGATGTTGCTACCCATGTTCCCCTGATGTTCTATGTTCCTGGAAGGACGGCTTCACTTCCGGAGGCAGGCGAGAAGCTTTTCCCTTACCTTGACCCTTTTGATTCCGCCTCAGAGTTGATGGAACCAGGTATAAAATATGCTGAAATGATATTGCTTGACAATAAGATCACCTTTAGTTTATATGTGAACCACTTTATTGAATCATAGGCTTTGGAGGTTACACAGACCCTGCTTCCTGCCTTGTGTTGGAATTTCTTCTCAACATTCTGTGGTCAGCACATGCTTCCTGAGCATCTCCCATACTCTGGGCAGGGAAAGAGTGACAGAACCAGAACTGACAAGTATGGTCCCTGTCCACAAGGAGCCTTGTGGGGTGATGATGGACAAAGGAACAGGTGCATCCCCAAGATGAGGAGGGCTGTGGTACATTCTACAAGAGCCTGCTCCAGAGCTTAGAGGAAGGGGCTGCCCCCGTAACAGATGAGTAGAATCCTTTCCCTCAATGCACCCTTTTGGTAGGGACTCAGCCTTCTTTGTGGGGGGTACATTTTCCATTTTGACAGCTCATCAATCTAGTGAACCACTAGATCTGTAAAATCTACCAGGTGATTCTACTCTGCCCTCCCCAGCAGTGAAGAGCAAATTTACTTTGACTTCCATGTACCAGTCCTTCAAAACTTTGAAAACAGCAGTGATGCCTCCCACCCTATCCCTCCACCAATACCTTCTCTTCTCTAAGCTGAAATCCCCAGTCTTTCAACCATTCATCACAAGGTAGTGTTTAGACCTGTGGTTGTTGTGGTCTCTGTCTTCCAAAATGTTTCAGTTTGAGAAAGTACTTCCAGAATACCAGTTGGACCAGATACCCCTCCTGGATGTGTGGGCAACCTGTGTGGGTTCTTGTGAGTTCTATCTTGACTCGATCTGCCCAGTGCATTTCAGAGACAGGTTGTATACTGTCTCTGAAATGGCGTATGATGTTCGCTGTTTTTGGAGCACCTCTTCTATGAACTATGCTAAACCAGATTGCCCCCTTTCTGGACTTATGCATTTAATCCATCCTTAACATCTAAATCTTGTACTGTATGTTGATTCTTGTTTAAATTTGTCTGGTTCTGGACCATCATTCTGGCCTTTCTGGATCTTTCCGAGTTTGCTTTATACTACCCAATTTTATTTTTTACACATTTGATTTTTGTGCACTGCATGCCCTGTCTTCTTTCATGTCATTGATAGAAAGGTTAAACAGTTTCAAGGCATGATTTTAGCCTTTTGTTTGCTGGGAAATATCTTCTGATTGGTTGAGAATCTTTTCTGAAACTTTTGTTGGGAAGTGTTCAGCAATTTAGAAATAGATGTAACTGCACTGCCTTTCAGTTTATTTCCAAATTTTATCTCTAGTTGTGTCTTTTCCCTGAACTTCAGGCTTTTGTTTCCAACAGTCTTTCCCACGTAGCCAGCCTGACATATCCAAAGCTGGACTTCACATCTTTCATCTTCAGCTTTTCCTTCAGCACTCTTCTTGTCCTCAAGAAATGAAAATAGTCACTCATGCCAAAAAATCATGGAATAATCTCAACCCCAGTTTTTCTCTTACTCCATATGCAATATTCAGTCTATGAGCAAGCCTGTCACATTCCATTCAGACTCTGTGTACCACTTCCCACCACTTCCCCTGCCGCTGCCTTGGATCCCCAGACTGCTGCTATCTTGTGCTGAAGTACTGCAACAGCTTGCTAAATGGTCTCCTTGCTTGTGCCCTGGATCCCTTGGAGGTTTTCCTCCTCAGAGCAGCCACAGTGATCTCACTAAAACCCAAGTCAAGTCATGTCACAGCCTGGCACAGGAGGCTCTTATGTACCCTTCTTGATCTGAGTAAAAGTGGTCACAGTGGCCTTACATGTTCTGGCCCCATTATCTCCCTGACCTCATCTTTTTATAAGTATCCAGGCCAGTTGTCCTATACAGTGTCCCACAGCCTGGATTTGTCTGATTGTTTCCACATGACTACATTCAGGGTAACATTCTTGAAACGTGTGCTACATGGGCTATTGTATTCTCCCATTGTGTCACATTTGGGGGTGGGGGGTGCACTTCATGGCCAATGTTACTAGTATTGTAAGTTTGATCACTCAGTTAAAGAGCTAGGCATCAGCCAGATCTTGCCATTGTAAAGGTACCCTTTTCAACTTTCTTTACTTGTTTTCTTTTTATTTTACTTACAAATCAAGTGTCTAGAAAATGAAATCAAGCATGATAAAGCACTATCTTAAAGATCCAGAAGGGCCAGCATGATAGTGCAAATTCAAGATCAATTTTAACAGGAATCAATATAAAGTACAATATTTAGACTTTAAATATGGGTGAACCACAATGAAATACTACTTCATACCCACTAGGATGGCTATTAATAAAAAACAACAACAACAAAAAGCTGTGAAAGGCCGGGTGTGGTGACTCACGCCTGCAATCCCAGCACTTTGGGAGGCCAAGGTGGGTGGATCATGAGGTCAGGAGATCAAGACCATCCTGGCCAACAAGGTGAAACCCGATCTCTACTAAAAATACAAAAATTAGCTGGACGTGGCGGCATATGCCTGTAATTCCAGCTACTTGGGAGGCTGAGGCAGGAGAATCGCTTGAACCTAGGAGGCAGAGGTTGCAGTGAGCCGAGATTGCGCCACTGAACTCCATCCTGGAGACAGAGCTAGACTCCGTCTAAACAAACAAACAAACAAAAAAACGAAACAAGTGTTAAGACTGTTAGTGATTATATGGAGAAAGTGGAACACTTGTGCATTGCTGGTAAGAATGTAAAATGGTACAGCCACTGTGGAAAATAATTTGGTGGATCCTCAGAGTTAAACATAGAATTACTCTATGGCCCAGAAGTTCCACTCCTGGGTATATATCCACAGAGCTGAAAACAGGTATTCAATCAAAGGTTGTACATTAATGTTCATAGCAGCACTATTCACAGTAACCAGAAAGTGGAAGCAACTCAGATGTCTATTGACAGAAGAATAGACAAAATGTGATCTGTCCATACAATGGAATATTATTCAGCCTTAAAAAGGAAGGAAACTGACACATGCTACATCATGGATGAACCTTGAGGACATTATGCTAAGTGAAATAAGCCAGTCACAAAAGGACAAATACCGTATGATCCCACTCCTATGAGGTATCTAGAGTAGTCCAGTTCATAGACATAGAAAGTAGAATGGTGGTTTCCAGTTGCTGGGTGAAGACGGAGAAAGGGGAGTTGTTATTTAATGGGGACAGAGTTTCAGTTGTGTAAATTAAGAGGGGTTCTGGAGATGGATGGTGGTGATGATGGCCCAACAGTGTAAATGTACTTAATTCCACTGAACTGTACACTACAAAGTTGTTACGATGGTAAATGTTATGATGTATGTATATGACAGTAATAAAATGAAAATATAACACTAATGCAGACATCCAGAAGGGGGTAATGTGTGGGGTGATCCTGTGGGACTCAGAATATCCTGTTCCTCAACAGACTTTTTTTACCTAGTGGTTTTAGCCTTAATTGATGATCCTCGTCTGAGTCAGTTATTACACTGGTGGTTCCAAAATTCAGGTTGTTTTAAAAAGTGCCAACAGGCTGGTGGGACTCTTAATTTTGCATCCTGCTATTTGATTGGATGAGTAATTAATGCAGGGTGAGGTGCTGAGGTGGTGTTTCTAAACGTCTGTTGTTAAAGATAAATGTTGTAAATTAAAAAAAGAAAACATGGAGCCCAGACAGGTTCCTTTACTGATCCTGCCTGGCCATGGCAGGCTTTTATAATGTAACCCATTCTGCTCTGTTGCTTCCTGTTTCAGGCAGGCAATCCATGGACCTTGTGGAACTTGTGTCTCTTTTTCCCACGCTGGCTGGACTTGCAGGACTGCAGGTTCCACCTCGCTGCCCCGTTCCTTCATTTCACGTTGAGCTGTGCAGAGAAGGCAAGAACCTTCTGAAGCATTTTCGATTCCGTGACTTGGAAGAGGATCCATACCTCCCTGGTAATCCCCGTGAACTGATTGCCTATAGCCAGTATCCCCGGCCTGCAGATTTCCCTCAGTGGAATTCTGACAAGCCGAATTTAAAAGATATAAAGATCATGGGCTATTCCATACGCACCATAGACTATAGGTATACTGTGTGGGTTGGCTTCAATCCTGATGAATTTCTGGCTAACTTTTCTGACATCCATGCAGGGGAACTGTATTTTGTGGATTCTGACCCATTGCAGGATCATAATATGTATAATGATTCCCAAGGTGGAGATCTTTTCCAGTTGTTGATGCCTTGAGTTTTGCCAACCGTGGATGGCAAATGTAATGTGCTCCCTTCCAGCTGGTGAGAGGAGGAGTTAGAGCTGGTTGTTTTGTGATTACCCATAATATTGGAAGCAGCCTGAGGGCTAGTTAATCCAAACATGCATCAACAATTTGGCCTGAGAATATGTAAGAGCCAACCCTTTTCGTTTAGTCTTTATTAATTTATAATTAGTAATGGGACCAGTTTAAAAAAAATTTCCCTCTTTTTAAAACAGTTACAGCTTATTTACTGAATAAATACAAAGCAAACAAACACAAATTATGTCATACCTTCGGATACGAAGACCATACATAATAACCAAACAACATTATACACAAAGAATACTTTCATTATTTGTGGAATTTAGTGCATTTTAAAAAGTAACCATATATCAAACTAGGCACCACACTAAATTCCTGATTATTTTGTTTATAATTTAATAATGTATCTTATGTAGCCCTATATATTCAAAATATTATGTTAACATGTAATCCATGTTTCTTTTTCAAATCTAAAGTTAAAAAAAAACCCAGAAGCCGGTGTCTTAAAATCTTTTATTTTTGTTTCTAAGACCATGGGATTTCAAAATCTCAAGATAAAATATGTATGAAGTAATTAATGTAGACTTTTTACATCAAATAATAAATAATGCTCAATAAACTAGAGATATGAGGTGTGTAGGAAATTTGGTTAAACTTTTTTCAGATACTTTCTGGCCCAAATAATAATTTGTTAACAAATAATATGACCCTTGAACTCAATGGCCATCTATTAGAAGACTGTTATTCACACTGGAAAACATTTAAAGATGTAACTATATCCATGGATGGATTGAATCACTCAAAATATGTTAGTATCCTTCTTTAGGGATGGTTGGTTGCAGACATGTGTTTATTCAGGAGGCACAAAATATTCCATTTTAATTGCTTATTGAAACATTAAATTCTAAATTATTTTGAGGACTGTGAAGACTTCATTAGTGTAATATTAGGTCATTGTCAATCTCTCAGAATGTGGTTCTGTATTCTTTAAATATGAAAGTATCCAGGAAGGCCAGTGGCAGTAAAAAGCTTAGTGTATATAATCTCAAAAGGGATGGAATATTTACAACTCATATTTATAACATGTTGAATCTTATCAATTATCAGTAGTCATCAGCAGTGTCAGCAGCTTTCTAAATAAATATTAAATATCTAATGTCCTGTAGTGAAGGAGTAATTTTTAGTAATTATCTCTTTACAAAGTCTCCAGTGTTTCACGGTAAATGTTTGTGAAACAAAATACAGCAAAGTACATTAAGTTACTGCAGTGTATTGTTACCAAAAATGACAAGATATTATATTAAAATCGTAAATTTTAGACAGATTTTTAAAATTAATTAGCCTACAATAGAGGTATATATGGTAGCATGATGATCTTTTAAGCAGTTAAGTTACTGACTGTTCTGGCAACAACGATTTCTCTGTGACTGAAGAGCCCTGTTCATCTCCTGATCCTGAAGCTCGTCTCTCTCTTGAGCCTCGGCTTTCTTTGGTCAATGGTTTCCCTCAGCTTTTTCTTCACTGTTCTTCATCCTCATTGTTGCTGTCATCACGTTCACTGTGACTTTTACAATACAGCCTGTAAATTCCTTATGACATAGTTCAGTGCATTTGGCTTTATCACCTACTCCACAGTTCTTTACCTTGACTTGGCTTAGAGAAACTATATCTTTGTTGCTTCATATAACCTTTCCCCAACCCCACTAAGCTGGACATGACTTATTAGTGGTCCTCCAGTCACTTTATTTGTAGAAATCTCTTATTTCACTTGAGCAGGGGTTCTTTTATATGGTTTAGCTGACAGCAGAACTAGTGATTCTAGACATTTTGAGTGACTCTCATTCAGTGGCTCACAAACATGAGAGAACATCAGAACTACCTGAGGGGCTTGTTAAAACCCAGTGCGTTAGAGGCCGGGCATGGTGGCTCACGCCTGTAATCCCAGCACTTTGGGAGGCCGAGACAGGTGGATCACTTGAGGCCAGGAGTTCAAGACCAGCCTGGCCAACATGGTGAAACCCCGTCTCTACTAAAAATACAAAAGTTAGCCAGGTGTGGTGGCACATGCCTGTAATCCCAGCTTCTCAGGAAGCCAGGGCACGAGAATCGCTCGAACTGGGAGATGGAGGTTGCAGTGAACGAAGATCGTGCCACTGTACTCCAGCCTCGGCGACACAGTGAGACTGTGATTTTCTTTGGAGACTCCTAGATTTTCTGTGGATTTGAACTGAATTTGTTGGATGTTGGCAGGTTCCTCTTATGAGCTGTTTCTTTGCCCTGCATTACCCCATAAAGACTTATCTGGAGATGAGCAAAGTATGTTTGGTAGTGAGGTCACGAATGCAATCAGCCCCTTCTTCCCCACTCCCATTGCCATCTTCTCAGTCCTTCTCCCTTTCTTTCCAAGTAGTTTACCCACCCCTCCTCCTTCCTCCCCTGTCCCTGAAATAATCCATGTGTCTTCCTAAAATCTCTCTTTGATCCTGTCCTTCGATAACACCGTCAGTGCCTACTACTGGGTCTAGACAGACCTCTGTTGAGCAGTCAGAGTCTTCCCTGACTCCACAATGCCCCTTTCCTTGGCTGACCAGTATGACTACTGGTCCCCACCTTTCCCTTGCCTATCCCTACCTCCCTCCTACTAGGTTGTCCCCTCCCTCTCTTCACCCATTCATTCATGACCATTTTTCACTACCAAGCTCCCCCCCTCTCCTGAAGGAGGCTGAGGTTTTTGTGACTCTCTAGACTCTATTGTGGGATGGAATGAACATTGCTAAAGAATCTTGTGTTTGCTTTACTTTAAAAAGGTATTTTTTTCCTAATTATAAAATTGATGCGTCAGTTATGGAAAAATTAGAAATGTAGCACAAATACATGAGTATTTTACTGCAAAATTGCCAGATAATATCTTGTCTTTTTTGGGGGTGTGAATTTTTTGCATTGTTGTGGTCATATTGTGTTCTTTATCATGCAAGTTATGTTCTTTTTTTTACTAAGTATTATGTTTGGTTATTACAGATTTTCACAAAGATACTTTGTATTGCTGGTAATATATTTTATTGCATAGTCTTATAATTTACTTAACCTTCTTTCAATTGTTAGAAATTTAGGTTATTTCCAGATTTTCAGTATTGTAAATAATGCTGTGATGACCAATTTTGTGAATAAAATGTTTTTATGTATTTCAGATTATTCCCTTAGGATAGTCTGTCAGTGCCAAGTTGTCAAAAACATCTCTATTTTGCTTCTCTTCCTGCTCTCTTGCTGCCTTAGGGGGTAGTAAACTGAAACATAAAGTAAACATGCATACAAATAAAAAACATAAAAATAAGCAGCCTGATGGTAACAGGTGAAAGTGGTAACCTGTTTTAACTTTGAATTCTGGCCGGGCGCGGTGGCTCACGCCTGTAATCCCAGCACTTTGGGAGGCCGAGGCGGGTGGATCACGAGGTCAGGAGTTCAAGACCAGCCTGGCCAAGATGGTGACATCCCGTCTCTACTAAAAATACAAAAATTAGCCAGGTGTGGTAGCGGGCACCTGTAGTCCCAGCTACTCGGGAAGCTGAGGCAGGAGAATGGCATGAACCCAGGAGGCAGAGCTTGTAGTGAGCCAAGATCGTGCCACTACACTCCAGCCTGGGTGACAGAGCGAGACTCCGACTCAAAACAAACAAACAAAAAGCTTAAAATTCTTTACTTGTTAGTGACCTTGATCATGGTTCTCTTTGTGCGATAGTTGGGCATTTGTATTTCCACTTGTGTTAATTTGCCTTTAAATTTTGGTTATGGGTTTCACCTTTTAAAGTAATCAAACATATTTATCTTTTCCTGTGTGATAGTTTTTTTCTGTGTCTTTTCCTGTTAAACACATAGACCCCTCCCCAATCTGGAGATTGAATAAATATTCATTTTCCTTTGCATTGTTTGTGGTTTGGTTTTATGCTTACTGTGTCTCTCCACCCCATTATCAGAGTAATATATGCTCATTGCATAAAATCTGGAATATGTGAAGACTGGAGATGAAAAGAAGCCCACCATTTGAGACATAGCCACTGCTGACATTTGTATATTTCCCTTCACTCTTTTACCTGCCTAAAGACATATATGCAGATGTGGACATATTTAGCTTTACATAGCTGCAGTCTACCACGTATAATCTATATCTTGTTTTTTTGATCTAATAAAATGTTAGCTTGGTTTTTTATGTCATTGACAGTTCTTGGTTAGCAGCTGTAATGGCTGCACAGCCCTGCTTCATTATTACTATTTTTTGTACTGAAATGTATGTACCACTTTCTGCTTATCCATTCATCCACCAGTGGCCACTTGGGTCATTTCTGCCTTTTGGCTATTGCAATAATGTTGCTGTCAACAAGGATGTACAAGTATCTGTTCGAGTCCCTGCTCTTAATTGTTTTGGGTATACACCCAACCTACATTAATCTTTAATCACTTAAAATGTTGGGCTTTGTGCTGGGAGGTAACCAAGGTAACTCTGGAGCAGCCTAACCCTGGCTACAGAGAGAAACTGACTCTTCCCTCTCTGCCCAATCTTTCACCACCTGTCAGGTTCCCAAGCTGTCCATACCTCACTGTGTGAAGGGCTTTGGGTATAAACTCCCAAAGAGAGGCTCAGCCCCTTTTCCTTTCCCAAGTTCATCCTGGAGGTTATAGCTCTTCAGAGGAATCTCTTGAGTTCTGGCCTGAGATCTGGGATTAAAGTAGAACCCGGGTTGTCCCTTGGGGCCTTAGGGATAGTCCGTTGTGGTGGAACCTGCCATCAGCCCCACTGCACTCAGTGGTCCCCTTGTACTCCAGGACAGTTTCTCTCTTCTGCACATGAGAACTTCAAGCAGAGAGGACTGTCATTAATTGATGCCTTCACATCACCCATCATTTGGCCATAATGGCCAAGAGCCCTCACTGCGCTTGGGTCTTGCCTTTCCACATGTTACTGAAAGCTCCTGTTGGTGTCCCTGTCCACTAACTCACCTGATGGGGCAGATGCTCCTTTCCTCTGAATGTCTGATAAAACACAATCTGTTGTGGGGAGCCCACACTCAAGGGTTTTCTTTGGGATCAGAGTTTCCCGGCTTTAGTCCATGCCCTGCTTGAGATCACTGTCATCTATGGTGCTAATCACCAAAGGATGCCCTTGTTTGATTCTGGATTCCAGGTGATAGTCCTTATCCCCAGATGGGGAAAGAGTTTGGGTGGGAGAGAACAAATGTGACAAGTTGGCTTCAGGTGAGGTGGCTGGGAGCCAACCCTCAGGTACCTGGCTCCGAGTAATGTGACGGCCCAGGCAAGAGGGCTCCCACTGCCAATGAGGAACAAAAGCTTGAGGTCTAGTAGTGTATTCAGCACATGCTAGGAAACAAGAATTGGGACGTGGACGAGGAGCAAAGTCCAGGGGTTAACTGCTTTTGGCTTTTCCTCTATAAAAGTCAGGGACTATGATTTATGTGGGTAAGAAGGTTTGGAGTAGGACTGAAGCTGCCATTTACAAAACCCTTGCCCTAATTTATTGTAGTTTTGGGTGTGTTTCCGAAAGAACCTTTCACAGGTGATTTTTATTCAGTACTCATTAACTCACAGGTTTTATGGATTCACATCTTCTACACTATTGAAAAACATATCTTGGTATTTATGTTAAGTGCAGCATGAGTTATTATATGAATAAATCACATTAAATTTGCCATTATCATGTGTGCAATTCTTGCTGCTGTTTTGGGACTGCTTGGTGCTGCCTTAGAGAAGCCATTTAACAGATCTTGAGACCGTGGTACAGGTTTGCCCCCTTAAAGTATCCAACCTGTTCCTCCCCATGTGAGGCCAAGGCAGCTGTGGCATGGGTTTTGTTAAGAAGTTGAATTCTTGAAGGTAGACGGTGAGTTGCACTTGACTGTAGACACACTTTTCTGGGCAGTGGTATGCCTCTCAGCTTGCCCTGCAGTTATAGTACAGAGACTCACCAGAAAGAAAGAGGAAGTGGGTTGACCAATTAGGTAGGCTTAGGGGAAACCATATATGCAATAGCAACAAGGTAGAGGAAGTAAATTAATGGGTTCTTGGGGTTCCCAACTGGAAATTTGCCTGTTTACTGGTCTTGGCTTAGTGTCTTGATGAGCCTTAGTTTATCTTTTTCTACCTATCCTACTGGTTTTGACTAAAAATTTGGAAGGCAGTGCTGCTTATATTGGTGAGGACACTGGAAGACATACATTTCCAAATAGATAAGGGCAGGTTGGAAGGATTGAGTAAATCTCAGCAGGTGAAGTAACTTCAATGTTCATTTACTGGCTTGTTTATTGGGAATGGTGTGAAGTTTAAAAAGCACAAACATGAGGGAGGATTGTTTGAGGCCAGAAGCTCAAGACTAGCCAGGGCAACATAACAAGACACCCATCTTTACACACAATTTTTTTTTTTTAAATTAGCTGGGTGTGGTGGCATGGCACCTCTAGTCCCAGCTATCGGGAGGCAGAGACAGGAGGATCACTTAAGTCTGGGAGTTCAAGACTGCAGTGAGCTCTGATCATGTCACTGCACTCTGGCCTGAGTGACAGAGCGAGACCTTGTCTCAAACAAAAAAAGGCACAAACATGTATACAATGAAGAGTCATTTCCTCTTCCATCCTGTTCCCCAGTTACCCTATTATCCTCAGAGCAAGCATGCTTACCAGTTCTTGGAAACTGCTGAAGTTTGAAAAGGATACATGGAGACTAACAGGCAGGCCCCAGAACCAAGGTGCTAGTGAGGGATGACCCAAGGGAGCAGTATTGCACATGCAACCCTTTCACATTGTGGCCAACGGCTCAGAATGGGGGTGCGGGGTGATGTGGCTGCCAGGAAGTGAAAGGCATCTCAGGCTACATAAATGGATATCCAGGAGGAAGGAGGAGGTAAGCTGCTCTGCCTATGTGCCACAGTCAGCCAGCACCTGGAGAACCGTGTTTAGTGGCGAACACGGAGCTGTCATGGAAATGTGGACGAACAAGAGCCTGTTCAGAGGACAGCCCTAAGATGGGTGAGACCCAGCATGTCATGTGAGGAACAGTTGAAGAAGTGTTCAAATGGGGAGAGAAAAGACTCTGGGGTGGGTAAACGTAGGGGTTGGGGGGAAAGCATGGCACTATCTTGAAATTTCTGAAGAACCATCAGAGGCAAGAGAGATTAAACACACTATCTAAAGTCCCAAGGGAAGATCCAGCACTGGACCCTGCAGGGAGACAGATGGCCATCCAGAGGTTGAACTTGTGGCTGGGCATGGTGGCTCACACCTGTAATCCTAGCACTTTGGGAGGCCAAGGTGGGTGGATTGCCTGAGCTCAGGAGTTCGAGACCAGCCTGGGCAGCATGGTGAAACCCTGTCTCTACTAAAATACAAAAAAAAAAAAAAAATTAGCCAGGCCTGGTGGCGTGCACCTGTAGTCCCAGCTACTCGGGTGGCTGAGGCAGAGGAATTGCTTGAACCCGGGAGGCAGAGGGTGCAGTGAGCCGAGATCGTGCCACTACACTCCAGCCTGGTGACAGAGTGAGACTCTGTCTCAAAAGAAAAAAAAAAAAAAAGAAAAAGAAAAAACAACAGAGGTTGAACTTTCTAACATAGCAGCTTACCATTGGATGAGCCTGCTCCTAGGTGTGGTGAGTTGTCATCTGAGGTATGTAAGCATCATGTAGGCAAGAGGTTCTCAATAGAGAGCAGTTCTCCTCTTGGGACATTTGTCAGTGTCTAGCGTCATATTTGGTTATCACAACTGGGGAAAGGCTGCTACTAGCATCTAGTGTGTAGAGGCCAGGGATGATAGGAATCACACGCAGACAGCACCCCCTCCCCAACAACAATAAAGAACTATCTGGCCCAAATGGCAATAGTTCCAAGGCCGAGAAACTCTAACATAGGCACACATTTGCTACAGAAAGAAAAACTACTAAAATCCCTTCTTTCTCTGAGACTTCTATGATTGGAGAATGCATGTTTAATTATTAAAATAGCATGCTGACTATATAAGGTGATTGGCCCTTTGCATATAGCCTTGAAAACATTTTTAAAGATTGTAAGGAGCTTTCAAATCAAGATGAAGATTTAAAAACAAACCATTTTATGTATTAGTAGTAGTAGATTGGATTTCTCTTTCTTCCTCTTCAGTGGAGAGACCCTCCCATCTGAGTTTCCTCTCCCATAGAAAATATGTTAAGTAGGTGATTTCTTTTAAAAAAATAATACTGCATTTTTCCTCAGTTGAAAAAGTATTACATATTCATCACAGAAAAATTAGAAAAATATATACAAGCAAAGAAAATAATCTAACACCACTGTTTACTTGGTTGGCATAGTCCTTCCCCTGAATAATATATAAAAAATGGATCATACTCTATCTCCTATTGGTTTTTCTACACCCTGTTTTACAACCTGAGTGTGTGGTGGCATGGCACCTGTAGTCTGCTTTTCACACTGCATGATTTCTAAGGGCTTCCCCAAATTCAAATTTCTATGACACACAAATTGGCAGAATTTCCATATGAACATGTGAGGCCATTTCCTGGAGGACAAAACTAGAAACTTCTGAGTTTCATTCCTCTCCCATGACGTCTAATAAATGTGAGTGTTTCCACAAAAGATAATACTGAGGCTGCTGCTTTTCACAGCCTTGAGTTTCACGACTCTGTTTGCTCACAGCGTGCCCTGGATAGCCCAGAAACTCTGTGGGATAGAGACATCCACCACCAGGCCATAAGGCTTTTATTCCTTTGTGTATCCATGTATCCATCTGATACATGAATCCACTGATACTTTGTGTATCGGTGTATCCATCCAGGTTTCTACCTCCACCAGGTATCATTCTGAAGCCATCTCCTATCACTTGGACATGCAACCACTTCCTAACTGGTTTCCTACTCTTGCTGCACTGCAAA